TTCTTAAAATAGCTGTTGCTGGGAACGTTTTCGTGAGGCAAGATACTAATTATATTCGGTCTCCGATTTGATCGGAATCTGATTTTGAATAGGAAGAAATTATTCTGAGTTTTAATTCTTAGAGAACTCATTTACAAGCTGCAGGGCCATTTATTGTAATATTTCTCAGATTTTGACAATGTCGGTAAGAATTATCGTTTATTGACTGTGGCTATCGATCATATCACTTAATAAAATTATTAAGTTTAGGTACTCGTTCGACGCACAATTTGTAAGTAGAGGGAAGTATTTAAATGAGTGATAGCCTAACTCAATAAATACAAACAAGTTTATATAAACAATGGTTCGATTTTCAGCTAAAAATATTTTGTGATTTTTCATGTAAACCATTTGTTTTGTTGAATAGTAAGTAATAAAAAAATTATTTAATTTAAGTAATTAACGATTGCTTCACTGTAATCTAGACAAAATATACTTTAAATAAAAATAGTTTGCTTTTGTTAAAAACATTTATTAAAGAGAGCTTTTGAGCCGCTAAACTCAGCTAAGGAGTGAGAGGAGATAGGTAGTGGTGGGGGGGGGGAGGATATGGATGGGAGAAGCACCTGGAACAGAGGTGGGCCCCCCCACCTGAGAAAATTCCTGGATCCGCCTGAATGCCCCTTCCACTATTCGGAGATATAATAGCACTGATACTGTAGGCAGAATATTTGAATCCTTTAATCAAACCCTGCACAATATTTTCAAAATGAAACGAAACGGCCTACCTTTCTTTCAATGGCTGTACCTCCTGCCCTGACGTATTTCCGCACATCTCAATCTCTGATAACATAAGACATACCCTACCACCAGCTATTATTATTAATATATATTATTAACGAATAGCAGGTTGAATAGCAGAATCGGACCTGCACGCTGTGTGCGAGGAAATTGTTCAGCATTTCATTCATGGACTATAATTCAAAATTGTATCTTAACGAGACGCCGTGTTAGGGAGGCTAAAAGGAGAAAATAATGTAGAAAACGAAATGATAATGAGATTAGTTGAATATTTCAGATACTAATAATCAGACGTGAATACTGTGAGAGCGGGAAATGTTCACCATTTTGTCTTCTAAACTATTGTTCGAAATTGTATCTTATTTGGGGGGGAAGGGAGAGGGTCCTCACCTTTAAGGGTATACGGGGTTTTCCCGGGCCAGGGGGTGAGGACGGAGATTTAAAAGACTCATCAGGCGCCGGGATGGGAACTCGTGACTATTTTTTTTATCACATTATCTTATATCAGGTTGGTGCTGTGCACAGGAGTTAGCCCATTTGGCCACCCCGCCCACAATAATAAGGGTTATGGTGGAACCGGTATTGAACTGGAATTATAGAACAGTGCGCTAGCCACTACACTATGACAGTGCTTTCAAAATTGTATCTTTTTTTTCTGTTCTTCCCTACCTTGCCTTTTAGACTACACGGGATTTTCTCGGGCCGAGGGATGAGGCGGGGAATTTAAATTCCCCTCTGGTACCGGGACGCGACCTTTTTTTTCAATCTCAAAACTTGGTTATCTGGTTGCCGGGCAACTCGCGGTGCTGTGCACACATGTTAGCCCATTCAACAACCCCACCCCCAAATTGTATCGTAATCCAACACCGTGTTAGAGAGTAGGAGAAGGATAGTGTCCAAAACCTAATAATAATAAACAGGGGTGGCCATCTCTCCTCTTCCCCCAAGGTCGGTGGCGCATAAACCTTTCCTAATCCATTCCAAAATATTTTGTTTCTCCTCTTCTTAAAAACAGTGCAGGCGAAAGTGAAATTTAAAAAATCGAAGGTTATATATAATTATACATTCTGCAGACAGTCCAATACTTACCCTTGTCTTTTGGTTTGAAACTTTTCATTTCCAATGTTCATAATTCCCTCGAAATGTGAACCCTCGAAAATTCCAAACCCCGTCAAAATGTGCCCCCTTCAAAAATTCTGATGGTACATACATACGGTAAATACTTGCGCCATGAAACCCCCTTCTGGGCACCTCTGATAATAAATAGTACAAATTCTAATATTATTACAACATTGAAATTTTATTTTGAGAACATTATCAACAATATATAAAAAATGAGAAGAGAAATAATATAAAAGATAATAATAGCAGAAATTCTTAGGTATAATGGAAAATATGTAATAACCAGTTGACCCGTGCGAATAATTCGCAGAAAATTTTGTTTAATGAATTAATAGCGAAAACATATGGAAATAAGTAGATCTAATGTATTGTTTAAGGAAGGAGTTAATATTTTTTCCTTGGTCGATTACAACATTCCATTTAACATAATAGAACAAAATATTTGTACAAATTGCTTTGCTAGGGCCTATTTTTAAAAGCTGACTGGAAAGACAATAAAGCCATGGAACTTTCATAATTATTAAAAAAAATAAAATGTAATAACAAACAAATACCTGTAAGAAATATTAAAGTTAATATATCAAGGAAGAAAAAAGGTGTAGTAGAATAGTAAATGCAATATCTTTAAAGAGGAAGAAATTATTAAGTATACCAAAAAAATGACTGTATCTTTTTTAATAATTGTCCAATTATTACAATTTTTATTTGTTCTGTAGGTAATAGAATAGAATAGAATAGAAAATTAAACTTTATTCTGGGACTAAGTCCCCCGTGGGACTAAATCCCTTTAGAATAACAATGATGAGTTAATACAAAGTAAAAGACAAATCTGGCCAAAAACTAACTTCTAAAAATTTTAATATTATATACATTATTTAAAAAGTATGTAACCAGTAAACAATAAAAAAATAAAATATATATACAAATGAACATAAAATCTTCTCAAAATTACTTAATTGTGATGAAAAAAAAAAAAAGAAGAGAAATTACATATTTATAAATTTTATATTTATAATATTAAATTAAAATTTTATAAATTTATTACATATTTATAAAGAGATATTACAATTTATAAACAATACTCTAGAAAACTAACTTAATACAAAATGAAATAATATCTACAGCGGTTTATATAATAATATGCAGACACTAAGATAAAATAAAGTCTTACGATACTTGTGGTGTAATGGAAACAAAAATAACTAAAAGGAACTATTTATACGTACATTCTCATATTGGCACACATAAAGACAAAGATATAAAATATGAACATATATACCCGAAAAAAAAAGCACAGCCTGAGGAGAAGAGAAAAATAAATAAATAGTAAAAATAATAGTCAATCTAGGTGACAAAGATCATTGCTGTTTTATGTTAAAACTTAAACAGTAGGCACCACTATTTACTTCACTCAAATTCAGTTCATAAAATGAAATTTATGGTGGTAAATCTTCTGTTTGGGATGTAAGGAGATATTGGAAAAGGAGGTATTTGAAAGTTGACAGGGAAGAGGCATGACGGATGTTATGTGGCAAAGAATTCCAGTAAGCGACGGAGCGGGCTAAGAAGGAACGTTCATAGGTTTTTGTCTTGTGGAATGGAATATAGAGGTCAGAAACACGGGATCTCGTTTTTATTGAGTGGACTAAGGGTTTAGTCTGGAGGAGACAACAGATATAGGAAGGGAGCTGGGAGTTGATTGTTTGGTATAAGAAATTTCCAAGGAAGTATAGGCGGCGGGAAGAGGGGAAGAGCCACTTTGACTCGGCATATAGTGTCCCACCCACATGAGATCATCTCGAAGTGCCGAAGACGAATCTTAAAAAACAGTTCATGATTCTATTCAGTCTGTCCTCAAGCTTCAACGAGAGGCCACCGTATACTATATACAGATTAATATATATAATATAATAATATTAATAATAATAATAATATAATATATATAATAATATATAAAATATAATATTTCTAATTATCATGGGTACAATCAAGAAACATATGCGTACTTTTTGAGTTATTGGCGAATAATGTTCCTCTTCCTTCATTACTTTTTTCCAGAAATTTCGCGAGGATAGTACTATTTTTTGCATGTGAAGGAGAAGAATATCTTTAAAATGAGTGGTCAATCATTCGATTTGATGAAGAATTGACGAAGTTATGGCGTACCTATAAAAAAATACCTTTTAGAAATAATATATAGGATATAACCTTCCAACTGGAGATTTCCACATAAATATTATACAGCCGTTATATACATCATAAACTACTAAATATCACTAATTTAAACAAGTAAATAATAAATCATTAAGCTTTGATGTCTATATTTTATGTAATAGAGCTTCGTTATTAACGTCGAGCTTCGAAATTAACCTAATTAACCCTAACTACAATACACCTAGAATACATGGATTAGTAAAAAGTCCACTTAGTGCTATCATCACTAATATCAATGAGGAAACTAAAAAATTGGCTAAATATCTCAATTCCACACTCATAACCTAAAATCAAATAGTAACAGTGATGTCGAAAACTGAATGGAGGTGGGTCAAATCCTTGAAAGAATAAATAAAATAGACAACAAGTAAATATTATTTGATCTGTTTTGATGTAAAAAATATAATTACCAATATCAACTTAAAAGATGCGAGTAATCAAAATAATTGAAAAATACTGGGATACAATAAAACTACATACCCAAATTAAAGGGTTTTACGGAAGATATGGATTAAAATATCTCAGAAGCTGAAAATCGGATATGCATACATTCAGCGAGGGAAATGTTCAGGCATTTGACCCTCTTTATAATGAGCTGCTATTATTTATAATTTATATTTCATATTGTTAATCTCGCTTTGTTGCTGTTTCCCCTTCTATCGTGTTGGTCTAAAGCACACACCTTACGTTTTTTTTATTTACTATTAATTTTATTATCTTGTTTGTTTCCACGAACGGGATTTGAACTCGAAATCAAAGCAAAAAGCCTCTACACGTTAAATGTATTTTGCCAGGTACCTTAACTCTCTCGACCACCGCGGCTCCAGAAACATTATACATCATGTGTTATTACAAGCTACAATATTCATTTTCCCAGATGATAACTTTTTTTTCCGATAATGTATATTGTTTGGTTGATGATATGTATACTGTTGGTTAACAGTATTAGTGCTATTTGTGTTTTTCATAAATTAAGAAAACAATTCAGGTGTAGTCATATTGTACTTTCTGTGTATAAAGAAGAGAAAATTGTGTGCATTAAATGTCAGCAACAATTTCTATTAAGATAACTTTGATTGTTATAAATAATATAGTCATCACATTCAACAGTCACCAATTTTCGTAGGTCAGGAAAAGTTCTCGAAGAACTGATATAGGTGTATGGATAGGTCACATTATTTGAAGAAATTTAGCGGCACTTTACGAAGAAAACAAAATTTCATCGCAAAGAAATTTTCTTCTCTACCTTGTTTTCCAGTTCCACCACTTCTAGATACACTAAAGAAACTTCTCGCGTGAGTTAACTATTTCGATATTAATACTGTAGATAATCTGTGGCAGTAAGAAAGCTACTGTAAGCTATCTACTATTCTTCATATGAAATAAATAAATTATATAAAAATAAGCTGTCATTATTGATATAAATTGGCAATTAGAGGGATTGTTGTAAGCTACCACACCAGAATGAGAGCTGCAAATGATTATACAGTGGTTTATTATTTCCAAATAGGTATATCAAATGTTATATTAAGTCACTTTCCACATAAAGGGAAATAAATTACACGTGATTGCTAATATTTATCTGCATATTATTTTTTTTATTATTTGTTATTTTTTAAGAAATATGAACAATAATCTTTAATGCTATAGTTGATGTAAGATTTTCCAATAATCAAAACTGGAACAAAGGAGATCGGCACAGCAGCAGAACATATGGAATATATCTAGAGCGCCATATCTCTACAAGTCGTCCAATTTCAACCATAATTTTTTTTAGAAAACTTAAATATCTTTGAAATATTTAATTAAACAGGCCGTAGTTTGGAGACTCCTGGTCTGGGCGAATGGTAATCTCGAGTTCCGAGGGTTAGCTCTGACATGCCAAGTCTCACAACAATCGACCCACCAGTCTCGGAAAAAAGTCGTGGACTGCAGACGGACGGATTTTTTTTTTCGATTTTTGGATTCTACATCGTATCTTGAAATGTAAGCATGAATTTTGAAGACGTTTTATTTTTTCTCGCCCGCCCTCCTCTGCATACGCCCATGTCGGGGATAATGCATCATTAATTTATAATTTTGTTTTGAAATATGTTTGCCTTTTAAAAAAGAATTCCACCTGAAATAACTGCAAAAGCGTTGTCAAAAGGTGGTACATCTTTTTAAAATATAAGGCCAATTAATTTGAGGATAGGGAAATTAGTCTTTATTTCGTAATTAGTTTCCTTCAGAATGTTAAATACTATAAATCGACCTGGTCACTGATGAGATTTTTCACAAGTTTGCTTTTTATTTGTTGCTACTTAATTTTAATTTGTTTCGTGTCTCATAGCCAAAGACAAGTTGAATTTATTATGTACAAATAATAACGAAACCTTTATGATACCGATATTTCAAACAAGCGGCACCCTTTGAGTCAATGCTGAAACTGGAAATACGGAAAAAAATGCTCCGCTTATGTTAGGTATTTTAGGCAGCCTTAGCCCTCTCTTGTTTATCCTGTTGCTGGACTCTACCCTAAAACGAGCAAAACAGAAAATGATGCCACCTCATTCGGACTATAGGAACCTTCAGAGCGTCCAGTATACGTTGCTTTTGCTGACGATATGGTGGTATTCGGAAATGACTGCCGTAATCTGCAGCTTAACTTCAAGATCCTTCAAGCTGAGTTAAAGGATATAAACATGGAAATTAACATCTACAAAACAAAATCCATGAGGATTGGGATAACGAGACCGGATCGTTAGGCTGGGTGAAATCCGTCTGGAGCAAGTTATGGAATACCTGGGTGCTCACCTCAACGATTATGGATGGGTTGATGGAGACATAAAGGAAAGGACCAAGACGGCTGGAAAATGCTTCTACTCCCTCAAGACAGTATTCTTGGACAAGAAGGAAGTATCAAAGGCCACTAAGAAGGTTGTCTTCAAGAATACCTTCCTTGCTATATTAACATATGCAAGCAAATCTCAGACCTTCAGTTCCAAGCACAAAATCAAAATACAAGCTATGGAAATGCGGTATTTAAGGAAAATACAGGGGAAAACTAGAAGATCGCGTGATGTTGCCATAAGAGCAAATCTAGACCTGAGGCATGCAGTGGGAATAATCCAAGAGAACCAAATCAGATGGTTTGGACATGTCTCGCGAATGGCTGAAAACAGAATTTCCAGAGCTACCTAAGAGGTCAGAGTGGAGGAAAGGCGGCCACATGGACGACCAAGAAAAAGATGGGAAGGAGGAATCAAAGAAGCCTTTGACAGGAGGGGAAAGGGCTGAAGGAGGATAAGGCAGATTATTGGGTCAGGCTCTATAAGAAGGAACGTCATACTGCTCAGCGGTAACAAAGAGGACTGGATTAAGAAAGTAAGATAAATACCCACAATGAATAATACCCACAAATAAATCAATAAATATAGCGTCTATAATTTTTACTTTCACGTCCCCGTTGTCTGAAAATACTTATTTCTGCTAAGAAGAGTGTGGTAAGTGAAAGTCGTGTGATGAGCATACCAGATTTTTAGAATTAGTAGAATTTAGATCTACTAATGACTATACTGTATCTCCATTGTAAAAATTAGAATAGAATAGAAAATAAACTTTATTCTGGGACGAGGTCCCCTTTAAATAACAATAATGAACAGTTATAAAAGAAAAAATACATATCTGGCCAAAAACTAACATAATAAAGATTCAAACAATATATACAGCAAATTAAATAATAGTATGCAAACAAATAAAATAAAATCTTCTCAATTATACTTATAATTGTACTGGAAAAAAAAAAATGAATTACATGTATAGAAAGAAAAAGCAAAACCTCCAGAAAAGAAAAAATATCAAAAGCAAGTAAATAAAAAGTATTGACTTTTTATTTTAAAACATAAACAGCTAAAACATAAAAATATATACATAGATTAAAGATATATTAATGGCAGAAGATGAGCAAGGGGATCACAATATTGCGCTAACCCGGCATAACAGATATAAAATAAGAAGAAATCGATAATTACAATTAGGAAGGGCTATTAAATTAAGTAAACAATTGCAGCGAAAAAAAAACTAATTAAAAGAAAATAAATTATTTATATATGTTACTTGGGGACTTAGAATGAGAACTTGCAATGGTATTTTAAACTATAAACAAACATGGAGATTAAGAGAGGAAAATATATAAGAGTGAGCGATGTAAAAAATGAAATATACTTAAAATATATCCATGTACCTAATATATATCCCTCAATTTGTATATATATATATATATATATATATATATATATATATATATATATATATATATATATATATATACACAAATTGAGGGATGTAAAAAATGAAATATATATAATCTTAGAAAAATAATAGAGAGAATAATATAGAATAATATAATAGAGAGAAAAATAAGGATAAAAAACAACAAACAATCTCTTATTTTTTATGCATCACAGTGCTACTGAATCTTTCCAATTCATAAATAGTAAACAAAAAATAAAATAAAATAATGGTGTGTGAAAAGAAAAAAAATATCCTTGTTACATAATACATAACTAACCAGCGTCTGATTGGATTGTGAAGAGGATTTGTAATAAGAGGGTTTTGAATGTGGATAAGGATGGTGCATGGTGGATTTTAAGTGGGATGGAATTCCAAAAGGTGGTGGAGCGGACAATAAAGGGATGTTGAAATGAAGCAGATCTATGGAAAATGGTTTAAAGGTCAGAAGGACGAGATCTTGTGGAGAGGGTGTGGATAGATAATTTAAATTGGAGGAGATTGTATACATAAGACGGGCGATTATTTGGTAAAGGAATGTGCTAAAGAATTATTGCCTTCTGAAGGAGGGGAAGAGCCATCCTAATTGGGCATTGTAGTATATACGAGCGGATCTACGGAGAGGGGGGATTTGGGGCTGAAGCCCCTCCCCCCATTCCTCCTAAAATGATGGAATATAACCATGTTTTCTGGAAAAAAATGTTAAAAAGTTATCTCTTAAAGTATTATTGTTCGTGTAATTACTTTTAGGAATCACTTAAACACCATTTCATATGGGTAGTCTTTTTTTTTCAAAGTAATTATCGTTATTTTTATGAAAAAAAAGCTTTCGGGCTGAAGCTACCCACCTCCAAGTTAAATCCTAAATCCGCTAGTGTTGAAGTGAGAAACATGGGAACGTCTCGGGGTCACTTCAAATCTTACTAAGTTATTCATAATTCGTTTTAGTCTGTCTCCGAGTTCCTAGCATTCTGACATAAAATAATCAATTTTATTCTGTTTCACAAGTTCATTCTAATGTTATTTCATAATTTATCTCATGTTCTAACAGCGCAGAACTCGTAGACGGTCTTGTGTAGTGGTGCTTTATATTCCGGATCGATTATGTCAAATTATGTGCGTTTTTGTACCAGGTGCTTTCTCCACGCTTACCCATTTCCTTCCTGCCTCTTCCCATCTCCCCCCTCTCCTTAGCTAATTTTAGCCGCTGAGTCCTCTTTAAATGGTTTTAACATAAGCAAGCTCTATTTTTATTCAAAGTAAATTTTGTCTGGTTTACACTGAAGTAATCGGTAATTGCTTAAATTAAATAGTTTTTTTTATCACTTCCTATTTAACAAAAAACGTGACACATAAAAAATCACAAATCTTTAATTTCCTACTTTCCTGCTGAAAATCGAAACATTGTTTTGTATAACCTTTTTGTATTTATTGAGTTCCGCTATCTATCGTTCCTTTAAATATTTCCCTCTCTTTCCGAGATACCCTGCGTAAGTTTTTAGACATGTAAAAACTAAATTGCTAACACGGGTCACCAGGAGAAAACTTTTTACAGCCAAAAAATCCAGATTTATCTGATCTTTTGTTTTTCACGAATTACTAATAAACAGTTCATCAAAGTGAAAAACGTATTCTTTATTAAATTTAAGGACGTGAAATTGTGCTTCGAACAAGTACCTAAACTTAATAATTTGAATAAGTGATATGGTCGATAACCACGGTCAATGAACGATCATTTTTACCGACATTGTAAAAATCCGAGAAAGATACTATAAATGGCCCTGCAGCTCTAAGTTCTCTAAGAAAAAAACAAACTCAGAATAATTGTTGATTCCGATGATAATCAGATTCCGATCAAATCGAAGACCAAATAATTAGTATCTTGCCTTATGTAAACGTTCCCAAACAGCAGCTATTTTAAGAAAAGAACAACACTTTCTAATGAGCAATGTACAAATTATTATAGTGACCAGTATTATGAATCGCATGGATTCATCAAGGAGACTATAGTTGCAATGGGTCCCGATCTATTGCAACTGAATAAAAACTGGATCCGGGGGAAAACCCGGATTTCCTTGTGCTCGAATATAAGGTTATTAGAAAGAATAAATGAAGTTCATTTAATAAATTTTTCTCCATCATGTATTTCACCTGCGAGAATCAGTTCGGGTCAATAGGAACAAACTGATACAGAGATTGCTTCCAGGACACAAGCCTTCGCATCTCACGGCAGCACAAAAACTACATCACTCTTTTCTTTAAATAGCTGCTTTTTGGAACATCTTTGGACCAGCATCCAGGGGGAGGGTCGCCCCTTGCAGAATTCGCTTGTGCTGTTCACAATAATAATTCTTTTTATATATTACATTAGTAAATTATATTCTATTATAGTCTATGAAGAGCAATTTTTCATATATTTCTCTTTTCTTCAAACAGCTGCTTTTTGTAACGTTTCCCCCCTCCCCCATCCGGGGAAGAGATGAGCGCGCCCCCGGCTGGATCCACTAGTAATGGATACCGCTAGTACTAGTACTGGTCACGATAATAATTTTTTTTATATCACATTAGAAAATTTGTCTTAGAGGATGATTTTCCCCTATATTTCTCTTTTCTTTAAATAGTTTTTTTTTGGATGTTTTCCACATTCCAAGGGAGGGCGTGCCCCTTGGCAGAATTAGCTAGTGCTGGTCATGTTAATGATTTTTTGTTACTTTCCTACCTATACCATACTAGGTTCTATACTAGGTTGCTCAGAAATTGGGTACTCCATGCGCAATAGCTGCTTCGCAATAAATTAAAAACATTTTTTTCTATAGACTGTAGCGCAAAAACGGCTCTAACGATTTTGATGAAATTTTCCTATAATGTTCAAAAAATTGTCCTTTCCATTTTCGTTCATGTACTGAATTCCCTAAAAAAGATCAGGAAAAAAATTTATAAAGAAAAGAAAAATGTTTTGGGACCTAACTCACTTAGTATATATTATATGGTAAAATTTTTAAGAAACCTTTTGATGGGTAATTAAATTATCAACAAAAAAACCATCGGAATCGAACCAGTATTAGCGATGATACAGCGTATTCTATTTTCTTCACATGTTTTAATTTATTACTTTCCTACCTATTCGGAAATGACTGCCGTAATCTGCAGTTTAACCTCAAGATCCTTCAAGCTGAGATGAGAATATAAACATGGAAATTAACATCTCGAAAACAAAATTTATGAGGATTGGGAGAAGAAGGGACCGAGGAGACCGGATCGTTCGGCTGGGTGGAATCCGCCTGGAACAAGTTAAGAATTTTAAATACCTGGGCGCTCACCTTAACGAGTTCGGATGGATGGATGGAGAAATTAAAGAGAGAATTAAGACGGCAGGAAGATGCTTCTACTCCTTCAAGTCAGGCTTCTTGGACAAAAGGAAGTCTCAAAGAAGATTGTCTTCAAGAATAATTTCCTCCCTATATTGACATATGCAAGCGAGTCTTAGACCCTCACTGCCAAGCACACAAGCCAAATCCAAGCTATGAAAATGCGCTATTTAAGGAAAATAGAGGGGAAAACAAGAAGAGATCGCGTTAGGAATGTGACCATACGAGGTAATCTGGACCTAAGGCCTGCAGAGGAGATAATCCAAGAAAACCAACTTAGGTGGTTTGGACATATCTCGCGAATGGCTGAAAACAGAATTGCCAGGTCTACCTACGAGGTCAAAGTGGAGGGAAGGAGGCCACAGGGAAGACCAAGAAAAAGATGGGAAGAAGGAGTTAAAGAAGCCTTTGACAGGAGAGGAATGTCTATAAGAAGGAACCTCACACTGCTCAGCGGTAACAGAGGACTGGATTAAGTTAAGTTAAGTACTTTCCTACCTATACTAGGCAAGAAAAATATTGCGACCGGGTCTAATATTCGACATGCGGTTTTTGACGGATCTATACGTTTCAGAGTCCCCTGAGTCCGAAAAACACATCAGTAAATACCGTTTTTTTAAAGGTATTGAAATTCCCTACAAAACTATATAAAAATCGTTCATTTCGAACAACTGTTAACGAAGTTACAGCTATTCAATTTCCAATGTAACATAACATGTATCCATAATGTCCGTATTCCTGGTGTCAGAAAGGGATGAATGAGAGAAAAAATAAAACGTACTGGAAGTAAGAAAATATGTTTCCTGCATCACACAAGCTTTACTATTAACTCTACTTTTAACAGAAGTTATTCGTTTGACAAAATTAGGCTATGGCAAAAAGTTTTTTATCAATAATATTAGAAGGTATTGAAATTTTTACACTGTGCTACCTTAAGCCGGTTTACATTGCTTTAGTTTATCAAATAAATCATACTCAGATCTTTTCTTTGATCAATTTTCAGGAAGATAAATCTAATTCAATTTTTTTTGTTTCTTGATGGGCACATGTAAAGATATAAAAACTTTTCTGAAATAGGTAGAAAAGTCGTGTGAGTGGATACATCAGATTTTTTATATTATATTAGGACATCGTCATAGACGATGAATTTTCCCTATATTTCTCTTTTCTTTAAATAGCTGTTTTTTTGGAAAACAATTTCCAGCTTCCAGGGAGAGGGGCGCCTCCCCGGCTGGATCCGGTAGTGCATTGTAGGATTACTGTAATCTGCAAAATGGAAAATAAGCTCTGATGTGAACACTTAAATTTTAATAATATTTAATTAATCTTTTAAAAAATGATATGATACATTTATTATAAATATTTCATCAATTGTATATTATAGATCAATCAGGTATATTAATATAATCTTGAACTTTTTAAGGTCTGCTAAACCTCTTATATCACCACAAGAATACAGTAGTTCAGAGAAATCGATACAATGTTTTGGAACTCCAGGCGGAGAAGGCGAGTATCTTCAATGCTTGATTTTAGAACGAGCTGAAAAAATGGATAATTGGGTAAATAAAATTCATTTCAGACAAATTATCATGTCGTACTATATACTATTACTTTCACTTACCTATAAATAAAATATATACTAAGCAGAAATAATGCGATCGTGAAAATTTTCGAATATGAATTTTCATCGCAAATACGCGTTTTGAGGTCCCCTGAGTCCAAATTATCAAGTCCCATAAAATGGTCTGTGTTTGTGTGTGTGGGACTATAGTCTAGTTCAAAAACGATATGTTGTACAAAAATGAAAATGCAAATTCAAGTTGCAGGCATATACCTGACTGGAATATTACAGCAACTATTTACAACTATATGGAGAACTCCTTTTTATCAGTTCTTCCACTTTCACTCCATCTTATTTCCTGCAGTGCCGTAATATATATATTATGCTTTATGAACTGATCTGCAATTTCTTTCATTTTGCCCGGTCTCAACATTGTATTTACTTTCCATGTGGCTTATGAAACCTCACATTCTTTCCATTTTAGTTTAGTCCGTCGAGAGCGCTTAAGTCTTTTACCAATAGAAACATCCGGCTTTCCTTTTATCTCAGTTTTCTGAACATTAATTTTTTTTCCGAGGAGGGGTCTTTGGCCCCACGCTCAACTCCCAACCTGGAGGACCGGGTCATTTGTCTTCAGGGTTTTCCTCCCCAAGGTTAGTTGCTTTCACCGCAGCTGAAGTGTCCAACCTACCCTTGGTTTGATTTCGGAGTTGCCTTCTCCTAGACAAATTGCCTTCACTTCGGCTATGAGGTAGGTCCCCCGGGATGCAGTTTAACGTCATGCCCAGGACGAGAGCTGAAAACAATATCCCATCAATTTCGAGTCATAAAACTGTTTGAATTTCTCTTGAATGTTTTCCTTATCATGCTCTCTCAATTTTTTTTGTTTCTATACTTTCATTCCAGTTTTTTATGGTGGAAATGCATAAATTACAAAAGGACTTCTAGATTCGAAGATCAGGGAAAGAATAGTTTCGGCTGGAAAATTTTTCAATGCTGTTAAAAGGAGCTTCATTAACAGCATAGTAGTATCAAAAAGAATAAAAGTTGCTATATACAAAAATAATTTCATCCCAATACTGATGTATTTCACTGAATCTTTGACACTTACGACAAATCACAGGAGTCAACTATAGAGTTCTGAGATGAGATTTCCTCGGAGAATTGAAGGTAAAGCCAGACGAGGTCGAATCAAGAATACTACAATAGGGAGTCAACTTTTTTAAAAACAAAGGAAATTTTAATTATTAGAATACCTTGGTGGACGTTTGTGCAAGCTTTTAATCCTATTGAAATACGAAATTTCAGGATCCGTCGAATAATATTTAACTTAAGAAAATAGAAAATTTTAGAATTTTTAAGTATAACTTATTTGATTCATTTTGACAAATTACACTACCAAAAATTATTGTTAGAACTCGTCAAAATTATATTAATAATACATTCAAGTTGCAAAATTAGTTTGATGGAAACGGGGTTTTTAAGTTATACTTTATTGAAAATCACGGCAACCCGGAATTTAAATTCGTCCCTAAACTATTGGAATGTATGAGCCACCTATGTCCCACGTTAAAAACAAAGGAAATTTTAAATATTATAACACCTTGAAAATAAGGATTTTGTCTCTCTTAGGTCCGCTAATGTTGTAAATGGATATGTATTTGTTTCATAATTTCAAGCCCTGCACCATCAGTGTAGGCAATGTTTTTCATCCTGCTGATTATTTTTGAAATATTTTTAAGTGGAATTAAAAAAACAACAACGTATTTTGTGGAGATAAATCAGTACGCAACGGCTAATTCAATTCTCCTAGCAGAAGAAGAGAAAAATCATTAAAAACTGAGTATGTTCATTCGAGAGCAATAATTATTATTATCTCAGAGCAAAAAATCGTTACCGGGTTCATGCCTTCGCCAGTATCTTCCGCCAATCGTCACGGTTCCATGCACACGCCATCCAGTGCACACTCTAACGTCAGCTGCAACTTCGTTTACCCATCTGTGCTTCGATCTTCCTCGTCTTCTCGTTCTACAGATAGGTTCCATCAAAAGCTCCCTAGGCAACTCTTCTTCGCTCATGCGTGCCCACCGTAACCGGCCCAGTTTAACCATCTGAACGATATTGAAATCCTAATACCACAAATCTTCTGGTTTGTGCGCCTCCTCCAGGTATATTCACCAATACTCCTCCAAATATCCTCCGAAGGATTTTCCGCTCAAACACTAGGAGAATCTTTTCATTACGTTTAGTCATAATCCACGTTTCTGAGCCGTATATTAGCACTGAGCGGATTACGGTTTTGTATAGGTGTTATTTAGTTAGGCGGGAGAGAATGTGGTCGATAAGCTGTTTTCTTAGGCTGTAGTAGCGCTGATTAGCAGAAATTATTTTCTTTCTAATTTCCGTTTTTGCAATGTTATCCTGTGTAAACGTAGAGCGTAGATAAATTAATTCGGTGACTTGCTCAAATCGGTAGTTTCCGCGTGTCACCATCTCCATTGCGTCCAGGCGTCTCTTCGATCACCATGTATTTGTTTCGAAACCAATACTGAAGCAATTAAAATCATTGCCAGCTTTCTCTTAATTAGGTTCGTATTCAAATCCCTAACCATTACCGAATACTTTTATTAAAACAAAAGTATTCGATAATCGGTAAATAAATGATCTGTAAAGTTGTTAGATTTAAATACTTTTAGATTTTATTTGGAACAGCTCTGTTTCTGAATATTAAATGACAGTATATTAGTCTTTTGTACTTTGATAGTCAAGTTTGAAGTTTTAAGCCTGCAATAATTAAGTCCGGATTAAAGTAGCATACAGTAAATGATCAGTATTCATATTACGCTGATCTTGTCAAACAATTGTAGAAAGGTCATTGGCAGTCGGGCTGTTATGGTTTGATTCAAGTAAACTGAACATCTATTTCTAAATGTATATTGAATGACCCAAATAATTATGTTAATCTAATTTAGAACCTGTATAGTTAACAGATTGGTGGCAAAAAATTACCTACTTTGATAACAGAAATCCATTGACACTCTCTACAACCACTGGATTAAGTTTTCCAGCTCAGGGATGTACAACTGAAGATGAACTTCTGGATTGTGCCTCAAAAATAGTAGCAGGTGCTCTTCAGTTCAAAAAGCTCGTCGAAGAGTATATATCAGTTTAAAACATTGTATCATGAAATAGTGCAATGGCAGAACGGCTACTGATGTATATTTTTTGTTTTTATTTTAGAAACAGGGTGTCTCAGGAAAGCATTGGTGATAAACCACTAGACATGAGCCAATACAAGACAGTTTTTGGAACATGCAGAATACCTCACGACAGAAGTGATTACCTTGTTTTCAATCCCAAATCAGACTTTATAACTGTTGCTTACAGGAACAACTTCTACAAAGTAACGGTAAAAGAAGGTTTGGCTTGGCAAAAACATTCCGCAATATTTGAACAGTTAAAAGAAATTGTGACAGAAAACAACGAGGGTCCTCCAATAGGATTATTGACCAGTGGATGTAGAGATACTTGGTACAAAGCATACAATGGTTTAAAAAAAAGTATGTATGTAATGTAAAATGGGTAAGTAAATAATTTATGAAATCCTAAATGTAATATATTTTAGATCATGTCAATTGTGAGTCTATGAAAGCCATTGAAGAATCTCTTTTTTTGGTTTGTTTGGATATTTTTTCAGCGCCAAGAAAAATAAATATCCCAACATCTACTATTAATCATTGCATTCATGGAAGTGGGCCCCGTCATAGCGGTGGCAATCGATGGTTTGATAAAACGTTACAGGTCTGTAAATACTTTATTCAATCTTACAAATAAATAAAACAAACCTGAATTTTAATTATTAAAAAAATACGATCGATTCTATGCACAATAATATGATTTAGTTTATAGTAGGAAAAAATGGAGAAGTAGGACTGACGTATGAAGGAAGTCCAGCAGAAATTCAAGTAATCCTCATGATCATGAATTTTATACATAGATACATGTGAGTAATAAGCAATATATATTTTTAATATTTATTGTAACACCAATTCATACAGTGTAATCATAATAAATTAAGAGGAATTACATAATATATATATAACCAAAAAACAAATAGCTGTTAGATAGGAAGTTACTTTCTAATCTGCTACTGTGTAGTTTAAATTTAATTTGAAGACTTTTTTTATTCAACTTTATACTTATTTGAACTTTTTTGTTGTTCAACGTGCGCCTTCTAGTGGTAAATCCTGTCCTATATGCCTGGAAGTATAAATGAATATCAGAAAAGACTTCTGACATAAAAACAATCTAAAACAGAGCTATAGACTAATTAAAAATATTTTAATTATTACCAATATTCATGGAACACATTAATTATATATTTGCATTTTTCAATTAGGGCAGGTACCCTTGGCACCCTCTTCTTTTATAAATCAAAACACAGCGCCCGCAACGAAGAATCTGTGGGACATATCCGAATTTTATTTAATTCAACATTTATCTAATACAGTTACTATATTGATAGACTACAATTAATTATTTTATCAGTTTCATATTTTTTTTTTAAACAAGAGGTGAGCGGTCCTGAAGATTGGCCGACGCCCCCAATTAGCGCCTCTCCAGGCGATTGCCCTGGTTGCCCCGGTACTGGATTGTATGATCCGTTGATTATGTATCGTGCGACTGTTGTTAAACTGTTTTTTTCCATTACAAAGTTTACTAAAATGGAATAACCAAATTTGCATTGCCTGTCTTAGATAGGTCAAACGTTGTCACACTATTTGTAAGTGGATACTGTTGGGATAACAGAAAAAGGGAAAGTTCATAAAACTATTAACTAATTTAATTTTCTAAAAAGTTACATAATGATTTTTAGAAATTAACGGACAATAGATACCTAATTATTTAAATATAATATCAGATCTAGAGTTATTGAACTGCAGTAAATGTATTTAAGGTTATAAACATATCCATAAAATATTTTTATATTTCTCTTCTTCTCTCACACAAATAAAATTAAATAGTATTTTAAACAATGTCATTGCCTTAATGCGATGGATTCTAAATACTTTTTTAAACATAAAAAAATTTTAAAAGTTTACATTTAGTAAGAAAATTTTATTTAATTTGCTTGGAATCATCTAATTTACGTTAAATAATGTTTTCAGTTTTATTACCTCCATTACCTCCTACAACTTTATTTATTATATATTATTTTTTTTCTAAAATTCTGTAAAAAAAAAATTTTCTAAAAAATTAATTATATATATATATATATATATATATATCTATTATTTCCGAAGATTCATTTTTGACCTGGCTAAGCATATTCTTTTTTTCTCCCTTATTCAGTTATTAAATTCTTTCAAAAGTTATATTTAGCCTTTTTTCATAACCCCTAATAATGGGAGAAAATTAATTATTTAAAATTAACCAAATTAAATGTTCTTTAGAGGAAGACAATTTAAACATCTGGCATTTAAGCCCGGTTAAGCGACATCAATAGCAATAAGAGCTAAATGATATTAAAGATTTCTTAATTATACATTAATACACCGAGTTTATTTAAAATCGTTAGAACCGTTTTTGAGAAAATCGTAAAAATGTGTTAGATCGATTATATAAAGTTCCACTTTCGGTTAGCCGATTTCGACGAAAAAGTTGCTATAACATCTCAAGCATATACAAACCTTAAATATGCAATGTTTTCAAAGGATGGGAGAACAAGCGAGTGGAGGAAATCGAAACCTTCGAAGTGCTAATGAGTGCAGACACTTTTCCAAAGACTGAAAGAAGGAAGACGAACCAAATGAAAACTCACATGCCGTAAGGATGATTCTTGTTACCTCATCCCAGAAACAGAGGATGTACTCAGGCAGAAGGTGGGGCACTTCAGAAAGGCACTTAACAGAGTAGACAATTCAAATGCAAGCCCTGAAGAAGAGGAATAAACTCTCGCTGTTGGCTCTGAGCCCTCTGATGAGGATAAGATATAGGAAGCCATCAGGAAGCTAAGGAACAACAAAGCACCTGGAATTGATAGGATCCAGTCAGAACTCTTGAAATACAGCGGGGATGAGCTAAGGAATGAACTCCACAACATGATAGTAACGATTTGGGAGCAGGAACGGATGCCGCAGGACTAGGCGAAAGCTATAATATGCCCGATGCACAAGAAGGGAGATCAATCCGACTGCGGAAACTATCGAGAAATCGCACTCCTGTCATGTGCATACAAGGTCTTATCAAGCATCCTCTTTGAACGTATGTCACCATTTGCTGAAAGACAATTAGGGAATTACCAGGCAGGCTTTAGAAGAGTAGATCAACCATTGACCAGCTTTTCTCATTAAGAATGACACTTGAGAAGTGTAAGGAGCACAGATCACGACTCACCATCTCTTTGTCGACTTCAAGGCCGCATACGACATTATAGACCGAATGGAGCTCTACCAGATCCTTGTGGATATAGAAATACCTAAAAAGCTGATGCGACTGGTAAAAATGACCACGAAGAACTCAATGTGCGTAGTACGCATTGAAGCCGATGTTTTGGAAGAGTTCTGCGCAGATAATGGAATGAGGCAGGGAGATGCCTTCGCCTGCTCTTTAAACTAGCCGCGGAAGGAGCTGTCAGGAGATCAGGTATTCAGGTTGGTGGGACCTTGTTTAACAGACTGGTGCAGCTGCTGGGTTATTCTGACGACTTTGAGATAATGGTCAGATCCAAACGAGCCGTAAAGGAAAGCATTTCTCGCCCTCGAGGAAGCTGCAAAAAAAGTTGGATTAAAAGTAAACCAGCAAAAAACTAACTATATGCAGGTTGGAGGGCTAGGAAATCACGAGGAATACTTTGAGGTAGGGCAGTACAGATTTCAGGTGGTCAATAACTTTATCTAGTTGGGAAGGAAGATAAACTCCCAAACTACATCTTCTAAGAAATTAAGCGTAGGATAATAACGGCTAACAGGTGCTACTACAGCTTATCAAAAAACTTCAGGAGCCGATATCTTTCATGGAAGACAAAAATTATCCTGTAAAAACTATAATCCGTCCAGTACTAATTTATAGATCGGAGACATGGACCATTAAGAAGCCGGATGAAAACGGCTCTTGGTATTAGAAAGGGAAATATATGGACCTATATATATATGTGTGTGTGTATGAATAGCTTAGTAAGATTTGTCGAAGGGATCCCGAGACATTCCCGTGATTCTCACTACTATGCCCAGTTAGGGTGGTTCTTTCCCTCCTTCAGAAGACAACACTTATTTGGCACATCCCTTTATCAAATAATCTACAACCATCGCCCGTCCTATGTATACAATCTCCCCCAATTTAAATCATCTGTCCACTCCCTCTCCACAAGATATCGGCCTTCTGACCTTTGCATCCCTTTCCATAGATCTGCTTCATTTCAACATTCCTTTATTGTCCGCCCTTCCACCTTTTGGAATTCCATCCCACTTAAAATCCACCATGCACCATCCTTATACACATTCAAAGCCCTATTATTCCAATTCCTCTTCACAACCCAATCAGACACTGATTAATTATGTATCATGCAACAAGGATAATTTTTTTTTTCAAACACCAATATTTTATTTTATTTTTTTTTTTATTATTTGTGAACTGGAAAGATTCAGTATCACTTTTGGTATAGCACTATGAGGTGATGCATAAAAAGTAAGAGATTGTTTGTTTTTATCCATTTTTCGTTTTTCTATCTACAAATTGTGACGTATTTCATTTCTGACATTCCTCAATTTGTATACATATATATCTTTCTATTGCTATTTTTTCTATATATGTAATTATTATTTTTTTTTTCCTTTTCTTTTTGTTTTTTTTCCAGTAAAATTATAAATATAGTTGAGAAGATTTTATTTTATTTTTTAGTAATTTGCATACTATTATTTAAATTGTTGCATATATTGTTTGAATCTTTATTGAGTTAGTTTTTGGCCAGATGTGTGTGTTTTTTTCTTTTGTAACTGTACATTATTGTTATTCTAAGGGGACATTGTCCCAGAATAAAGTTTATTTTCTATATATATATATATATGGACCCATCAAATTAGGTGAGACATGAAGAAGACAAAAGAACCTGGAGTTGTATGGTCTCTTTGAAGATAGCGAGATCTTGAAATTGAAGATCTCCAAAGTCATAAAACTGGGAAGACTTCGATGGGCTGGCCATTTAGCCAGAATGGATAATGGCGAGATTCTGAAGAAAGTGGCCACAGAGGAGATCTTAGGGACGAGGAGAGGGGGAACGACCGAATGTAAGGTGGATGGTTGGTGTAATTGAAGATGCTCACAAGATTTCCAGATGCATTTCTATATTTTCTTCTGTGAAGACTACCTACTATCATTTAAAATATTTTTATAATTTGAAAATGATCTTTCAACATTAACAAGTGTGATAGGAGCAAATTATAACTACTTAAAATTATCGAGTTGAGGTCAATGTCGCTGGGAACAATCGAATCTTCGCTATATAAAATTTTATTAATAAATAATAGAATTGTCAGCAGAGGTGTCCCCTCCCTTCCCAAGATCGATGTCGCAAGAACCTTCCCTCTCCCCTTTCCAAGACATTTTATTTTTTAATAACAGTGCAAACGAAAGTGAAATTTAAAAGGTCATAGATCATATACAATTATACTTATTGCGGTCTGTTCTCAGTTTTTCTCTTGTCCTTAGTTTGAAACTTTCGATTCCAAAAATTCATGACCCAGCCGAAACGTGCTCCCCTAAAAATTTAGTACCCCGTCAAAATGTAACTCCCTCAAAAATTTTGATGGCACAACCTGCGCCATAAAACCTCCTTCTTGGCACCTCTGATTGTATACCTGTTTTTTTTTAAATGAAAACTTCTTCCATTTTTTCATTTAAAGTTTCACCCAATTGGCCAGGTACCATTGGTTTTCCATCGGTTGTAAAAACTGTTTTCCGTCTGTTGTAAGCTTCAATCCAAGATATCAACTTTGATGAAAATGA